AATTTATTCTTATCAGCTAACGAAAAATTCTTACAACTAGAAATTTTGTAAAGCTAAACAAGATAAAAAAAATACAAATTAGGACACATGCGAATCAAGATGGATATTTATGTGCGAAGAAGAATTGCTATTAAATTCAGATTCGGACGAATCATTAAAAAGAAGAAACGTGTAACATGTTCATATTCTTTTCTGCTTTGTGCTTTCGCAGTATTGATCTGACGGAACTCCACCGCAAGACATTTAAGTTCTTCTCTTTTCGCTTGGCGACTAACTGCACAGTGGGTCACGCGTTACAGGGAAAAAAAAAAAATCCGCTGACTTAAATCAGAAACATAAGAAAAGAAAATGGAGGACACAATTTTCCGTCACTCACCCGATTTCTCGGGCCTGCTAAAAAAGGTTTTCACAAAATTTCTGGGCGTCTTGCCCCAGTGTAAAGATCGATCGCCAAACTTAATTTGGGCACAAAGCTATGCACAAAAAAGAATAGGAAAAAAAAAATATTACATGCACTCACACAAACGCACTCACATAGCGCATAGAAAGCCGACAAAAATTCCACACTCTGGCCTTTACATCGTTTTACAAAACTTCACTCTGCCATATTATTTACTTAGCCTAAAATTCGTAAAAACTAAGGAAAAAAATTAACACTAATACAAAAACATTCGCTCGAGATCCGGGCCAAAACGCCCGCGCGCGGCTTGGCGTCAGCTCCGCTTGCTGATCAGCTCAAACTGTTCTCCGCGGCTCCTTTTGCTCTGACTACTGCGGACTGGAATTCCGGGAAGGTTTTGATGGAGAGTTTTCTCTCTTAGGGAAAAATAGTTCTATACCGGTTCTTCTCTTTCAATATTAATGCCCTTTTTGGAACCTTAAAGAATATTTTAAAACCATGGCACTTTCTCCCTCACAGAAATATGTTCCAAGTGATACGGCAAAAATCCACGTCTCCACAGCCAGGTCGTCGGCCCCGCGACAAAAGAGATAAGGAAATGCTCTTCTTAGGCACTTAACAAGAAAGTACTTTAAAAAACGCCAAGCCTGGTAACAAAAAAAAAACTATTTGTCTACCTTGCTTGCAAAAAAAAATGTAATCTCTCGACTTACCCGGATGGACCTAGCGCTTTTACCAAAACAAAAAAACTCCTTCTGCGATGCACAATTTAATTTGGCAGCGGCTGATTAAAATTGATTTAAGTTCTTATTCACTCCGAAAACTTGAATTATACGAGTTCAAATTAGATTTTATAGTTTTAAAAAACTGAACTTCATAGCTCGACTGCCAAAATCAGAACGCTAGAAACAGCGAACAGGATTTAAGAGGATGAAAATAGATGTTGGTTGATTCTCAGACCTATGCAATACGCTTACAAAATTTCATGAGAATCGGTATAGCCGTTTCGGAGGGGTATGGTAACAAAAACTGTGACACGAGAATTTTATATATTAGACGAGAATTTTATATATTAGATAATGGAAAAAAAAATTATAATGCCGTTGGTTTTTATTCCACGAGCATGATTTTTACAATATCGACTTTTTAACTACCCTTGAACCGCAAAACAAATTTCATAAAAAAATATGTAAAAATTTTTTTAAGTTAAACCGTTTTATGTAAAACATACATTGCAATGTTTAAGTTAAATGTACTAAAAACCTAGAAATATCGTCGACTCTCGTTAATTCGAAACTCGAGGGACTCTTGAAATATTTCGAATTATCGAGTGTTTGAAATATCAAATGGTTCGAAATTTGCGAGAGAAAATAAATAAAACTTCGAATTGTTAAGTGTTGGTTAATTTGTATTTATTAATATCGGGTGTTTTTTTAGAGGTATAGAACTTTAAGTTGCAATAAAACCACCATGGATTATTCGATTGACATAAATTTTTTTTATTCGAAAGATAATCTTGTGGCAATTCATTTTATGTATGATTTCTGGCATATGACCGCCACGGCTGGCTCAGATGTAGTCCAATCTGGACTCCAATTTTCGATAACTTTTCCCAACATTTGCGGCCGTATATCGGCAATAACACGGCGAATGTTGTCTTCCAAATGGTCAAGCGTTTGCCATAAATTATATATAAAATGAATTGCCACCAGATTATCTTTCGAATAAAAAAAAAATTCATGTCAATCGAATAATCCATCATGGTTTTATTGCAACTTAAAGTTCTATACCTCTAAAAAAAATCGCCCGATATAAAAATGATAAGAACTAAGAGGTACATTCGTGTACGTACATGTATTCGTAATGTGAATCAATTAATCTTTCGAAAGAACTTTGTTATATGTACTGGTTTGCTTTAAAGCACAATTCTGCTCAATAACTTTTTTTAAGAGAAAAAGTGCCTGAAATGCTTTCGTTTTGTAGACATAAGTTTTGTAAGGTATCAAATGAGGATCTTGCTTCCTTAACTGACACCTCTGCCAAAGGTTCTTTATACTTTCTAGGGCTCATAGCTAACACTAACTTTTAACATGCATACCAACGAAAGAGTAACAGTAACTGAATAACTACACAAACCAATTCGTAAGAAGTTTGTGCGTCAAATGGTCAAACTACATAATCAAAAGAAAAACAAAGGCAAGTTTGAACTTGTCGCAAAATTTCCGCCTTTTTTCTCTGCAACTTTGAATTGTCGAGTGTTAGACGCTGATGAGTTCGAATTGACACGTGGTTTTGTTAAATATCAATGATTGTATCGTTCGAATTACCAAGTGTATGAAAATGTATTGATTTAGTTCGAAATATAAAGAGATTTTGTAGGGAACTCGTGATAAATTTGAATTATAGAGAGGTTCGAATTATCGCAGGTTTGAATTAACGAGAGTCGACTGAAATATAAAATAGATACAGACGTGGGAATTATTAACATATGCTTAGACTAGACGAATCGTTGATTAAAATGTTTGTTTGCCCCAGCTATATATATATAGCTGCCATAGGAAAGATCGAAAAATCTATATCGTTGCTTTTCCTCAGACAATCATGATTTTTTAATTATAGAGTTTTCTAACGACTCTTGATTAACGAGTTGTATTTCATCAAAATCGGACGACTATATCATTTAGCTGCCATATAAACAATAGTTGAAAATATGAAAAATTAATAGAAAAAACGTTATAGCTTCGATGCTGTTTAGCCTTTATGTATTTTGTTTGACCGCAAGGGTATATAAGCTTCGGCTTGCCGAAGCTAGCTTTCTTTTTTGTTTTTAATAGATTTTTTGATTTTTCTTATGTCTATACGATAAAGTCGACCGAGTTTCATGAAATTAAGTTCATATCTAAATGATAAAACTTACGGTGATTTATTTTTTCCCCCTAATTTTTCAGGAAAATATTGCAACACAGAAAATTTATTTAAAAATATTTTTTTTTGCGTGTTTTACATTTTTACTTTCGAACCAAATGCATAGTGTTAAACGAATACTTTTAAGTATTTATTGCATTTATAAATAATGTCCACATTTGAAACTATTGCAGTAACAGTGGGGGCAACAAAGGGTATCAACTAGAGGTGGGCGCGGGCCGGGCTTTTTTTCGCGGGCTTACACAGGCCCGGAGCGGGCCCGGGTCTTAAAATTAAGATTCGTGCGGTCTTCGTGCGGGCCCGGGCCTTAATTAAAAGGCCCGGCCCGTAAAAGCCCGAAAAAAGTCGACATAGAGCTTGACAAATATTTGGCCTATCCAGCAGCTCCTGGCACACATATTTTAGAGTTCTGGAAAAATGCAAAGGACTTAAAATACCTTTCTAAATTAGCTCGGACCAATCTGGCTATTTCCGCCAGTTCGTCTACGAGCGAAAGGCTTTTTTTCATATGTACCTATGTGTAAATAAGTTTCGTGCGGGCCGGGCCTCTTAAAAAAGAGTTCTTGTTCGTGCGGGCCCGGGCCTCAAAGTACAGGCCCGCGCCCACCTCTACTTTCAACATTATTGTCAACACAACATTCCTGTTTTTTAAATGGTTTTATTTAGCTTACCCTGTTTGTTTTTTTGGGTCAAAATTAGAAATTGAAATTGAAGTACCCTCCTGTTGTCAGATTGATCTGAAATTTGGTACACACCTTCAGTTCCGATGGCATTACAATATCGTAATATCAATAACATTGTAAATCCAAAATGGCGGCCTCTACAAAATGGCGGATAACGTAGGTTTTATCAATCCCATCAATATGGGTATCAAATGAAAGGGCTCAACAAGTAGAATACAGTTTACTATGTAAAATTGAAATCTAAGATGGCCGCCGCTACCAAATGGCTGATAACAATTCTTTATCAATCCCACCAATATGGGTATCAAATAAAAGGGCTTGACAAGAAGAATACAGTGCACTAAACAACCTCAATGTTTAAGATGGGCGCAGCTACTGAATGCCGTATAATAATAAGATTTAAATTTAGAAATTGAATCTGTAATTTAGGTATTTGGTTAATATAGCCTGAATCCACCACCCAAGTCTAGATTTTGTATCGTGTTGAGGACTGTGTGGCGTTAGGGTGGCTAAAAATGATACTCGTTAGCGGTACACCACCCAAGTTAAGGTGAAAGGTCAAAACGCGCCGAAAACTGTATGACGTTAGGGTGGATAGTCGTTAGCGTTTTCCCCTCAAGACTCAGGCGCATCTTGTTGAATAGCCTTGCCCCTTTATTGGACCTCTGGGGGGTCGACCGTTTAAATGTCTATTACTCGTGGGAACAAAATGGTAAGATAAACTAACGGGCAAGAAACCTTACAATAATGAAGCACTAAATGAATTAAACAGAATGTGAAATAAAAACTTAAAACTAGAAAAACTAGAAAATTTACCGTGCACCGCGCTTGTAAACATTTACCGTATGTTTAACATAAAACCGTTTAACTTAAAAAGTTTTTTACCTATTTTTATTTTAACTTAACTGGGTTCATTAGGCACCAATAAATTAGACAGAAATGCGACACGCAGAAAACAATATTATAACTGCCTTAATTTTATTTGTTTTTAGATATTGACAACAACGGATTTTTGGACCAAAATGACTTCCTATGCATGGCAGTTAGGGCCTGCGTCGTTGAAGGAAAAGGTGATTGCAGCACTGCTCGATTGGATGAATATAAAAAACTTATGAAAAATTTGTGGGAGGAGATCTCTGCAATTGCTGATGATGACAAGGTACATTTCAATATTCAACTGGTATAACTGGATACTTAAGCCCAACTTAATTTATAAATATTATATGAGAATAATAAAACGTAAAATTATAAGTTTAAATACCATTTCAGGTATTATAATTTTTAGCTTGAAACGAAATAAGGGAGACACGTCCGACCTCATGAACATCATTACGTCTGACCGTCTGCCTGTCATTTTGAACGTCTGTCCGTCTGTCTGTCATTTTGAACGTCTGTCCGTCTGTCTGTTGCGACGAACACCAGCCTTTCAGTTTAATCCACAACGATTAAACTAAAAGACTATATCAAAGGTAAAATCGAAAAAATAATAAACAAAATTAGAGTAAATGTTTTATAATATTAAGCTATTGAATATACATATGTACATAATTAATTTTAATGACTCTTAAACTACGAAAAAGTTCGCCTGCTTTTGTCTAGTATATACTAATTCATATACAACTGCCGTAGAAAAGACTAAAACACCTTATAAATTAGATTTTAAATACTACAGTTAAGCATGGCTGCGGTAGTGCCATGGTGGGGGCCTGTATGTCGGCAGCTGGCGTCGGAAGGCTGCGTGTTATAGAGCAGTGATTTACAAACTGATTTTGTCTACTGCCCACTTTGAGAATAAATATTTTTTTAGCGCCCCCTTTTTTCACCTATTTAAAAACCACTATAACTTCTGATGGGTCAATGAGCTTTTTAACTAACACTAATTTCCGCACTAATTTCCAACTAAATATGAACTTAATTATTTTATTAGCATCAAGGCTCTAATGTACAAAGTTAATGTTTGTTATTGTTTACAGCCGGCAGACCGATTTGTCTGTGCCTTTTAACAACCGAAAGTATGTTGGGCAGGCAAACCGAATTGTCTGCGCCTTTAAACAAGCGAAGTACATATGTATATAAACGAAAAAATAGGCCGGCGATCTGCGATTGTGCCTTCAGCGAGCGAGTATAAATTCGAGGGCAGGGCAAATAGCAAAACAAAGCAAAGCATCGACAATAAATTACGTTACGATTTGAATTTAATCACTCGAGTTAGGCTACGGCATGACTTCAAATTAAATTAATTAATTATTGTGACCAATATATGCAACTTGAAACCTGAGCGCAGTAGGTAACATAAAACGGCGCTTAGGTCTCAAGTTAACTCTTACGGGCTCCACCTGGCAATAAGAATGATTATTGAATCGAAACTTTATGGTATTAAAGCAGAGTATCTTTTATTACACCTTCATTGGAATTTTTATATTAGCTCTCATGGTTTGCTAGATAATATCTAGTAATCACTCGAGTTAGGCTACGGCATGACTTCAAATTAAATTAATTAATTATTGTGACCAATATATGCAACTTGAAACCTGAGCGCAGTAGGTAACATAAAACGGCGCTTAGGTCTCAAGTTAACTCTTACGGGCTCCACCTGGCAATAAGAATGATTATTGAATCGAAACTTTATGGTATTAAAGCAGAGTATCTTTTATTACACCTTCATTGGAATTTTTATATTAGCTCTCATGGTTTGCTAGATAATATCTAGTGCATATAAGCCTAAAAAATAGGTTATCCTTCTGTTTATTTCACTATTCGCGAATAGGCCCCCTCCCTCCTCTGTTTTGTCGGTACTTTTGGCCGAAGACGGACACTGCCGTTTTTATACCCTTGCAGAGCAAAAGGGTATTATAATTTCAGTCAGAAGTTTGCAACGCAGTGAAGGAGACACCTCAGACCCCATAAAGTACATATATTCTTGATCAGCATCACGAGTAGAATCGGAATACGTCTGTACGTCTGTCCGTCTGTCCGTCTGTCCGTCTGTCCGTTTCCGCGCAAACTAGTCTCTCAGTTTTAAAACTATCTTGACGAAACTTTCCCAAAAGTTGTGTAGTTATTGCACGCAGTATATAAGTCGGAACGGGCCGGATCGGCCGACTATATCGGATAGCTCCCATACGAGGGAATGAAATGAAAAATTCTCACGCCGTTGTTTTTCATCAGATCGACTTGAATTCTGCAGGATGGCGTTTTCTAACTTTTATTGAATTTCGGATTAAATTTGATCAAAATCGGATAACTCTATAATATAGCTGCCATAGGAGAGATCGAAAATTATATATAGAATTAATGGAAATAAATTGATAACATCGTTGTTTTTTATCCCACGAGCATGATTTTTTGAATATCAAGTTTTTCAACAACAATTATATTGAGAAAAAGTTTCATAAAAATCGGACAACTATATCTTATAGCTGCCATAGGAAAGATCGAAAAATCTATATAGAAATAACGGAAATAAAATTATAACATCGTTGTTTTTCATCAGACAAGTATGATTTTTGGAATATAGAGTCTTCTTACGACTCTTGAATTACGAATTAAATTAGATAAAAATCGGACAACTATATCGTATAGCTCCCATATGATCTATAGTCAAAAATATTGGAAAATGAATAGAAAAATCGTCTAAGATTCGATGTTGTCTAGCCTTTATGCGTTTTGTTCGACATATTTGATGACTGCAAGGGTATATAAGCTTCGGCTTGCCGAAGCTAGCTTCCTTTCTTGTTTTTTTTTTAGTTTTTACTTTAGTTTCATGCTTAATCTAAATTAATCATATAGCATATGCAAATTAATCATATAGCTTATAGTTTGCTATGCTATAGCATGTTATTTTTTTTTGGCCAATTACCTATATGGCCTCAAATCATGGCGCCCCAGTAACATACAACGGCGCTTAGGACTCAAGTTAACTCTTACGGGCTCCACCTGCCAATAAGAATGATTATTAAATCGCAACTTTATAGTATTAAAGCAGAGTATCTTTTATTAAAAATATACAAGTAACTAAAAAAAATCAATCCTTATATAAAAACTAATGTGAAGGATGAATTTGATGCTGTTTAATAAGTTTGTGGATATCAGGTTCCAATTTCTTTCTGGGTCTAACCAAATTATTTTTAAATCATTTGACATAACCATTAACATTTGGAATTTGTCTCTTCTTATCAGTCTCACATGCAATTTTTTTTTTTTAATTACGGTGTTTAATTACCGAACCTTCTCTCAACGAGACTAACTACAAGTATTTAAATCTTAGCCTAATACTTATAATAAATTAATTAAAATTAAGTTTTTTTTGGAAAAACAGCCCCAGTCGTGTGTGGCTAGTGTTCCACGTTAAAGACCGCGCCAGCCTATTTTGATGAGCGTGTAGCTTGATCGTATACTTTGCTTTTACTTTGTCGATTTCCTCTTTAAAACATCCCAAGTTTAAATCTTTATGAATGTTTTCATTTCGTATGTACCACGGTGCACCCGTTATTGTTCTCAGTACCTTTGATTGGGATCTCTGCACCACTTCTAGGTTAGTAACGCGTGCGTTCCCCCATAGCTCGGAGTCATACTTCTAAATTGGTTTAAGAACTGCATGCAAAGCGTGGTGGGCAGTATGCAGCGGATAGGCTTAAGAAACCGCTTTGGGTATCGATGTGTATTGATGTAGCTTGTAAATGGGCTGTTGCGAATGATGGCAACTCATAATGCCTGATGCATTTCTTGATCAGTATGCCAGTGCCGCCTTGAGCCTTGCCATCTGGATGGTTTGTTTTATAAAATATATAGCCATTAAGGTGAAAATGGTTTTTGTTTGTTAGATGAGTCTCTGATATAAGCATGGCGTCAATGTCATACTGATCTAGAAACGGCGAGAGCTCGTATTTGTGCTGCGAAATAGGAAACCATCTAAACTGACTTTTGTTTGAATAATAGCTACAGAAGGAGATTTTGAAAGCGCAAACCTTTACCTTGGCTATAGTTGCCAGCATTGCTTCTACGCCATTGGGCAATTGTGTGCTTGCATTTGCATGTTGGCCAGTAGTTTCTGGTTCTGGTTCAATGCTTGTTGCCGCACTATATCAGCAGTGGTTTACTGACCTGTCAACTTAGATACTGAGGCGTTCGTCCCGTTGTTGTTACTTAAAGCCTGTGCAAAAGAGACTCCCGGGATCGTGGTCGTTGATATAAATGGAGAAATGTTTCGGGTTACAGGATTTCGAGCTGCAGTTATATGTTGGCCAATCAACTTTTAACTCTTTGTAGACAGGACAACCTCTGTAATTTTCAGTGTGGTTTCCCCCACAATCACTATATTTTTTGGCAGAACGGTTCTCCTAGTTTATTGGGCAGGCCTCAGTTGAGTGTGCATCTCCGCAGGCAACGCAGACTGCATATAGAGTGCAGTAAGTCTTCATATGACCGTATTCCTGACAATTCATACATTTCACAGGCCCATTCCGCTTGTGGGGCTCATCAACGGTGATCCTACGGTGCAGCAGATATTTAAGTCCAGCTATGATCTCATAAATAGGGACTGTTGCTTTGATGCCTTTTATAACTACTTGTAGTCCTTTGCAACTTTTAAGTTGGTAGGTGTAGTAACTTATTTTTCCGCTGTCAAGGTGTTTGGCAACAGATCGATAGTCTTGTTCGTTGTCCACTTGTATTTTTGTTTTATGTAACCCCTTTTTTTGGATTTAACCCTCAGCGCACACACCTCCGTTTTTTAACACAACGCACACACTGGGGGATTTTCACCCATTCGACTTTGCCCGTTAATAACTTTACTTGTAATTGTCCGATTTTCAAAAACTTTTTTTTGTAATATGGAGAATTTTCTCAAGAATATTATGGTATAAGCTGTGAAGTTGTAAAATCAATTTTTCATACCTTAATTCGTAAAAAACTGATTGGTGTTCATAAAAAAGTTACTTTTTTTCAATAATTGTTATTAAAATGAAAAAAGTGATCAGTCTACAAAAGAAAGCATTTTTTCGAGAGTTCAGGGTACGAAATTTCAGATTTTAATGGCAGTTTAACCGTACGCTCCAAAAAGTATATTTTTAGTCATTTAAAAATTTGTCAATTTTTTCGTTGTTGCGGGTAAAGTGTGGTATAGAGTAATTCCTTTTTTGGCTCAAATTCTTTGTTTTT